CGATTGCTTACCATCTTTTTCGCTCGTTTCCCAACCTCATCAACAGCCTATAAATGCCCACTGGTGAGCAAAGCCTCTTCTCACACGGAGAAGGTTTGAGCACTACACCACACTTGCTCAATACGGGTTGACGATTACAAACTTATAATTAGAAATTATAAGCCTAGGTTTCCTCACGATGTTTTCCTTCACCGTTTATCAGTGGTGTCTAAACAATCTTAGAAAGTACATATAAATCGGAAAAAGTCACATTGGTACTTGCCGTTGGTAAGTTCTGAACTCGCACCATGCATGCATGAGAAGCAGGCGTCTTAAACCTCCAGGCCACCACGATATTATTTTCCGACCTATCTGATACTATTAAATAAAGCGGAAGAGTTTGTTTTTTTTGTTTGTTTGTTTGAACGCGCTAATCTCCGTAACTACAAGTCTGATTTGAATAATTCTTTCTGTGTTGGATAGCGCATTTATCGAGGATGGCTATAGGCTATAAAAATTCACGCTACGACCAATAGGAACTATGCAGAGCGTGTGAAACCGCGCGAAAGTAGCTAATCCTTACTAATATTATAAATCGGAAAGTGAGTTTGTTTGTTTGTTCCGCTTTCACGCCGTAACTACTGAACCGATTGCTTTGAATTTTTGCAGAAGTAAAGTTAGAAGTCCGGATTAACTAATAGGGTACTTTTTATCCCGGAAAAATTGGTATTCCCGAGGGAAAACAAAAGTATTAGTATAGATGGCGCTGTGTGTATTGGTATATGTCACATAGGCTACTTTTTATCTTTTTGTGACGCGAGCGATGCCGCGGGTAAAAGCTAGTACCATATAAAAGTTCTAGTATTATTTGACCTTAGAGTGTAAATTGGATGATTTAGACCCCTCGCGGTTGAGTGGCTCTTGAGTAAATTATTTGTATCCTACATCGGAACCGGTATGACGTCAAAATCTAATCTAGGATAGCATTTTCAGACCTATTTAGGCCTATTAGTTAGTGTTTGCAGTTTAAACTGTCAAACACCGCGAGGACACCGCAACCTATTGTTCTTTAATTGTGTCTATAATGACGGTACTCAAAGATTTAAATGGTTCAGGTTTATCAGAGAGCGCTGCTGCCCGGTCTCTGTCATATGTGTGTCTTATACGCCGCGGAAGACTTAACGGGTTGCCGGGGGTCCGGCTCGAAGGGCAGGAGTAGGAACGGGGTGGTTTTTAGTCAGTAAGAGTCAGACACTCCTTCTCGCCGCACCCAGGCGGGAGAAGTAATTCGATGATTTTCTCCCCTTTAAAAAAAATACGTGTCTAATATTTATTCATTACCTAACTGACGGACTAATTAGATTTTAAATTTTCATACCCTGTCATTATCCCTATTGTAAGTATGCTTTATAATGAAGTAAATCTTCTATAAGTTCAGCTTCAGCCAACTAACGGATACTGTCTCTGTACTGAACCAATCTTTATTATCTTACCTGGATACTAAATGACTCAATTAACTTCGCAAACGTCTACATCTCAAGTTTTTTTTATGGAATAGGAGGCAAACGAGCATACGGATCACCTGATGGTAAGCGATCAGCGCCGCCCATGGACACCCGCAACACCAGTGGAGTCACAGGTGCATTGTCGGCCTTTTAAAAAGGAGTACGCTCTTTTCTTGAAGGTTTGAAGGTTGTATCGGTTCGGAAATACCGCCGACGACAGATCATTCCACAGTTTTGCTGTGCAAGGCAGGAAGCTACGTGAGAAGCGCACAGTTGTGGCCTGCCAACCATCTATATGGTGGGGATGCATATGCTGTCGTGAGGGTCGATGGCGAAAAGATGCGGCAGGTATCAGGTCAAACAATTCCTCAGAGCACTCCCCGTGGTATAAGCGATAGAAAATGCACAACGAAGTTATAAAAACCAGTATAAGCTGACCGTCCAATGTATCGAAAACCAAACGAAGTGAAACCAAGATAAATTGGTTATGTATTGCTTGATGTGGAACCGTATATATTCACTGGGGCACAGATTATATAATTGAAATTGATCATGACCCTGCGGGACTAAACTCGTCGCTGTGACATAAGTTTCCGATCTGTTTTTAATGACACAATGTGCTGTATACACACGGGAACGGGAGTCGTGTTCCCTGTGATTAGGGTTGCCAACTTTTTTTATAAGAAATAGATTATATACCTGATTTTAAAGGAGGTTGGGGATTAGGAGTTTGAGGATCGTTGGGGATTTAGGGATTGGGGAGATTTTGGAAGGGGAGGGTAATTGGGCCTCCGGTAACCTCAGTCACACGACGAAACACAACGCAAGCGTTGTTTTACGTCAGTTTTCAGTATGGCTGCATGAGACGACCTGAAGATTGAGCTGAGTGACGTGGTATTAGAGTAGCGTATGTCCACAGTGGACGGAAACTGCCTGAGTATATTATGATGAACGGCATAAATGTATAAGAATGAGGTAAATCAACCTAACAAATAAAAAAACTTATAAGTAGTTACGATCTTTTTTGCATTCTCTTTGCGATAAGATTCAAAATAACTTTTATCTTGTCCGTCGTTTAGGGTCAGTCCACCTATGATTTCTTCTGTTAAAAACGACAAAATATTCAGGTATACATTTTTTTAAATTACATTCCTTCCGTAACAGTTAAATCAATCAATTTTGAACTGTATTACAATGACGTTAAGGAACAACACAAGCGTATTTTAGAGTTGGTTTTGGTAAATTTACTTTTTGAGTCTAATATCATTCTAGTCATCAAAGTATTAAAACTTAAAATAGGTTGTACAAACTACAAGAAGGGCTAGTTGTCCTATCTAACAAGAAAATACTATTATTTGAATTTGTTCTTTATTCTTAGTACAATAAAGTAGATTTTAATTTGTATTTCAAAAGCGCGCGCTATATTCCAAGATGGCGTTATTATCGTGAAACAGTCCCTTATATTTTTTACACAAATGTTTTGTGGCAATGACCCAATTTACATTCAGCCTGGCTTGTCTGGAAGGTACAAAAAAGTAACTGTTTGATAAAAATGAGGGGATTAAAAAATATATATATATTTTTTTTACTATGATATCTATGTAGATTTAAAATACGTAGGTACATAATAATATTTGGAATATAAATTATTTGATATGATTTCGGTGATATAAATATGGAATTTGGTATAAGTCATTTTTTCAAAATTAAATTCCTTCCTAACCATTCATTCTCTACAATTCCCTCTACTGCAAATGTGTTTTAACTCGTTGAAAATCATTCCCTAAATTTGTTCATACAAAGTAGTCCCTAAACATTGGGGACTGCTTGGGGATATATGGATTGAATTATCTCTAGATTTGCTATTACATAATAATATGCCATAAATGAAATAAAAAAAAATTGACACAGAAGTCAACCAAAGATTGAGAATCCTGATAATGATCCAGAAATGAATTCAATGTATAAGTCTAAATATATTACTTAGATCAAATTTTACACTTTTAATTAAACAAGAATAAAAAAACTCGGTGTACTAAACAGAGCGAAGCGGTACTTCACGCCGGGACAAATACTGCTTTTATATAAATCGCAATTTCGCCCCCATATGGAGTACTGCTCTCATCTCTGGGCAGGAGCGCCAGCATACCAGCTTGGACCTTTTGACGCGGTCCAAAGGAGAGCTGTAAGACTTGTTGACGATCCTATACTTATGAGCGGTATCGAGCACTTATGACTTAAGTCTAAGGAGAGATTTTGCCTCCTTGTGCGTGTTCTACCGCTTGTATAATGGGTTATGTTCTGCGGAATTATTTGATATGATGCCCACGGCCACTTTTTATCATCGCACCGCTCGCCATCGACAGGAGTTCACGCTTACTCATTGGAGCCAAAATGGTCGCGTACAGTTCGGTTTCAGAGGAATTTTCTCCCACGGACCCTCCGATTGTGGAATGAGCTCCCTGCGGTTTTCCCAGTGGGCTACAACATGAGGTTCTTCAAGAGGGCGGTGAATAGGTTTTTTAAGGGTCGGCAAGACGCATGTAATGCCCCAAGTGTTGCAGGCGTACATAGGCCACGGTACCCGCTTACCATCAGGTGGGCCGTGTGTTTTTTTTGCCACCGTCGTGGTATAAATAAAAAAAAAAAAGAAAAAGGTCTGCTTTCTTTAGATAGATAAGATTATTTGTAATTTATATAATAATTATTTTATCAGGAGTTCATGAGGAGTTACTAGTTATTTTAGATTAGATAGCTAATTACGGCAGACTCACAGTCTGTCCATTAAATATAAATAGTTATAATTATCAAGTTTACAAGCCAAGACAAAACAAATAACACCCATAACTTTAGAAATAAATTGTAAATATCCTTCACTCATGCAGTAAATAAAATAATCTGTTTGTATGAATGCATTCAACTCAAGAACTACTGGTTTGATTGGATAAACTATTTGTGTGTTGGATAGTTTATTTAGGTATTGAAGATGGCTATAGGCTATAAAACATAATGCTACGATCAATAGAAGCCGAACAGTGGGTGAAGTTAGACAAAATCAGCTAGTAAAATAACAAACTGGTAAGAAATGTATGTTGCTAACTGCTTTTGAAAGAAAAATGTAATATTGTTATGTTATCAAATAAATATAGCTATGAACTTGTATTGCATGTCCAAATACTAATAATTAAGTGATAAACATTATCGTTATATGATGATAAAAAAGCATTTTAATTGGTTATGGTAGGTGATAATTATTCACAAAATTGTCAATCATTTTACTGTTTAGTTAGAACAAAGAATGTTGTTGTACGGATAAAAGTGACGCCACAGCTACGCTAAGAAACTATTTAACATAACATTCATTAATAATTCATGCCTTTTTTCTGTACATTTAATAACATGGATACTACTTTTATGTGAAAAATTTCAACAAAATTATTTAAGTAAACAAAATTAGTTCCTATATTATATTGCTCAACAATAGACAAATAAAATTAATAAAAAAATAATACTCACCCGCGAAAAAAAAGAAAAAGTGCGCCTTTATGGGCAGGAGCCCTCTGTCTATTTTTAATTTCATTGTTTTAACTACAAAGCGACTTCACATACAGCCTTGTATCGATATTTAAATCACGTTATTTTTTCATCAACAATAGGTCAACGAACGCATTTGGCATAGTTGTTTCGATGTAAATACAGGTTCTAACTCCAATAACAACTTTCTATAACTAACACTGCACTGAAATGAAGTCTAAACACTGATATCATTGTTCACACAAAGAATTACGAGACGACTGAAGATAATACTTATATTAAAACGTTATCGCATGTCGAGACGCGACTAACTCATTGATTATATTGTCTGAGTAAACACTACAGAGGAAAATACAGCTTGTTGTTGTTAAGTCATAATAAAACTGACATTTGCAACGTTTATAGTCAGCTGTTTGGTGTTGCTAGTGTTATTTACAAAATTACCAACTTTTTGGTAATAAAAATAATTATGTTGTTGTACATATACCAATTTACAATAATACATTATGGTATTAATATATTCCAATATATAGAGAAAATATACTACTTTAAAAAGCTATCCAAACATCGCGAAATAGTAAAAATAATAATCGAAGTTTTAACCCTTCAACGTCGTGGCGCTTTGTGTATTAACTACTTTTATTGAATCCCTAGATGGCGCAATATGAAATATGTAGATCTTTAATATGTAAATTGAAAAAATAACAACAATAAATTATTTTAAAGACAAACACCGTTGTTTCTCTATTAGTTTTAACTTTAAGTTGTACATACCTATTTCTTTTTCTTATACTATTTAAATATTTTATGGAAATAAGAGATGAAATCTTTTAGATAGACATTTAATTAAAATAAAACACCGGTACAATTATTACACAAATACAGATGTTTAAAAAAATATCAACACATGAATAATTTAATTCAATAGGCGCACTATTTGACGAATGAGTATTTGACCAATTTGATATTTACAGATACGCGCGTACGTAGGTGATAAACATGACTTAACACTTAAAATTGTCGTGGATTTGGCTTAATAAAAATAGCTACACTTTAACATGCTTAGCTAAGGTGAAAGTTAAGGACATAAATGTAAAATTCTCTTATTTAGTACAATTGATGTCCTACAGCACAACAAAGAGTAAAAATATTTTAATTTTGTGTCATTGGCTTCTACTTTTTACAAATTTTGGTATAGACTACAAGCACGAGTTAGTATATTATTTCTGTATTAACTCCGTACGAGTCATTATAAGAAACATAACATTTCCTTATACAATAGCTATGGAAAGTGGTTAACCTGCGCTGGTAGTACCGTCGAGTAAAAGAGAGATGTCACTGTGCTGTGACGTCATTTTCTGAATCGCGGTGTTAAGATTCTCCGTGAATGAATGACCCTCGCCAGCTTCGACAGTACAGGCATCGCTTCTCGGCCTTTTGGCTAAGATCAAAGTGTAGTATCTGTTCTTTTCAGCTTAATATCTGAAAGTTCCCTCATTGAGGGACCAGTATATTAAACTGATTTTTGTAAACTGATGGGATGTTCGGGGCTCGCTCCACTCCCGTCACGGGTCGGCCCGGCATTGCAGTGCCGCCGGGATCGGCCCACAGAATTACTTGAAAATTATAATTACAATAAAAAAATCCGTAGAGGGAAGTCTTGATCACCTGTGTTAAATTGTTAACTGTGTTCAATAAATCTCTTGGCATAGTTGTTAGTATGAAGGCGAGCCGTGGAAACAGGTTCTTAACATACAAAACCTTAAGATTATTATTTATTAAATCAAAATACGACTGATACAAATACAACTGACATTTAAAAATATCAGTTAATTTTTATGGTTTACATACTGTGTATATTCTCATTATTTTAAGTTTTTGTCATACATAATACATAAGGTATCAGAAAATTTAAATATTCTTAAGGTATTGCGATTTCAGAGTACCTCGATAAGGTATTCAGAGTAGACCTCGATAAGAAAAAAAAAATAATATTTATTTATTTATTTATTTATTTATTAGGTACACAAAACAGAAACACAGCACAATACACAACAGAGTAACATTACAAAACTGTAAATGGCAGACCATGCTTCCACAAGTATGTGCACACAACATGACATGCAATATGGTTCATAGATGAATGAAGCGGCATAAGGGTTAATAAAATTAGTTTTTGATTTTTACTTTATTTGTATTTACTTCATTAGCTTACACATATTACTCACCTGTTGTCAAAGTCAAAATCATTTAATTTTATTTCAATTAGACAAGGAAGGCACTTTTGAATGTCAACGACAAAAAATTACAAAAACCAACACACATGTTTAAATATTAGGCATTAAAAAAGTCAAACTAATAAATAATGAAAGTCATCCAAATTAATATTTCCCAAAAACAGGGGAATTTTATAAATAGTTGGTAATTATTATCTCAAACATCATTATAATGCACAAAACGATGACGTTTAGATAACAATATTTTCTGTCTCTTTCTACATCATTGCAATAATATAGCATTTTCTCTTTCGTATGCTAAAATTAAATAAAGAATCACAAACATCAATAGTGACGTGAATGACCTCAACCTGCAATCATAATCGAACATTTCCCGGCTTCCTTTTTGCTTTAAAATTAATTTACAAATAAAAACAATTGTTTATCACATTGCTTTAAGTTTTAATCCAGTCAAACTAACATATTCATGACGTTAGATTATTTCTTTCACTATATTAGGATTAATCTTAAAAAAAGTAAAATCTGATAAATTAAAACTGATATCGATTGATTTAACAATGCAACATTGAACGGCAACGTCACTAAGCCGCGCGATATTCAATTATTTTTTCTGTGAAAAAATTTTCATTTGAATTTTTGAAATCGTAAAACATGGCAGGCCTCCTTAGTTTGTGAATAAATAAAAATATATCAAAATAAAATGGAGGACGAAGAGTTTGTAGGTTGCATCAGTTGCATGAACACAAACGATTTATGCGACCTATTTGCTTTGTACGCGGAGAACACGGAGACTTATGCAAAAATGTTTGAAACCTGTTTCGATATTAAGGTTATATTACAGCTTTTTATTTTATTATTTACTATCCTTAAATCCTTTGTTGAAACCTTATTTCTTCGTTTACTTGTAGATTAATAGATTATAACTTTAGTTTTAGTTAGATAAGTAGCTAAAACCATTAAAACAATTTTATAATAACAATAAATTAGCCATGATAGATATCGTTTGTGAAACAAATTGTTATAAAATTTTCATCAATTCTATAAAATAATGGACGTTTATAACGGATTTGATTTACCGAATTTCGTGTTTCATTATCGATTTCTGTTATTATACATAGTTACGTAGAATTTTACGGAAAATGTCAAGATTAGTCCTTTACAAAAAGAGCGTCGTATTCCCCATCCTTAAGACTGAATGAGAGCCATTTAAATAATAATATTCCTCGATTTTTTTCAAATTCTATTCATTTTTTATTATTAGTATATTTTTTCCATCCCTACACACACATATTGGGGAGGACTGTGGGAGGCAGTGTAGCTGTTTGTACCATGATGACATTAAGTCATTATACGAATAATAAATTGCAATGAACTCAATTCCTTTGTGCTTCGATTATTATATCTCACGAAGGATCGATATATTAATACGCTCACCCCCTATTACATGGTACTCGTAACATAGACAGTGAAAAGTGGGTGTTACATTGTACAGTTGCATTAAGTGCCGTAATTTATTTTATTTATTTATTTAAAACCTTACCTAGAACTATCATTACAGTTTTCTCCATTGCGATAGCTTAGGTCTAAAACTAAATCTATGTACCTAATTACTAATACATATGCATACACAAACTTAATTAAGTAATCTTAACATTTATCCATAAAAAAGAGATAATACTGACGACTTTATGGTCACGAGATCAGCGGTGAACTACTTACTAAATAACAATAATAAAAAAAAATGAAATGAAATAATAATCTTAATTAACATTTAAATAACATAATATATACAACGTAACTTTTACGAATTCACTCACATTGCAACACAATACATCCACCCTTTCATGGACTTCGTTCACTACTCTCATAGCTCTAGTGAGAGGAGCCCTAGCTAGTAAGTTGGTTCTGGCTGCCGGCACAGCGAGGAGAGGCGGGCTTCTCCTCTTCCACACATAACGGTCCGGCACACATAGCTGCAGGTGTCGCAGCACCCCCGGATTATGCGCTACGCCGCGCAGCAGCTTCACCACATACGCTACCAACGCAAAGTCCCTCCGCACCCTTAGCTCGTTGTACCCTACCATACCCAGAACAAATAGAGTAGGGTACATCAGGGGGTAAAATGGATAAACTCCATAAAGTTTGAAATACAAGTGCCTTGTAAATTTATTTTGAACACGTTCCAACATGACGCTGTATTTCGCCTCGTGCGGTGCCCATATAACTGCACTGTGCTCGAGGTGACTCCGCACTAATGTGTCATACAGTACCCTGAGTGTCGTGATGTTGGTGAACCCCTGAGTTTGTCTGAGTACAAAGCCCAGGTTCCTGTATGCCTTCCTACAGATCTTATTGATGTGTTCACGAAATGTCAGTTATGGAGTGAAGACTACCCCTAGATGTACTACCCCTAGATGTAATGTGCACGTCTGCATCCCCTTTCGGAGATAAAAGGCGTGATGTGGTATAGATACCTTTTGTGTCCTACGTACTCGGGGTATTCGTCCTCAACAGTCCATGACAGCTGAACTTTGAGCCTTCTCTACATAAGAGAGTTGGCCAACAATACATTTGCTACGCTCGATAGACGGGCTAGCGCTAGAGCGCTGCTACACGGTCTCTGGGTTATATATATACCTACGGGTTGGCGATTTCAAACTTATTTATAAAGTACATACATATAACTCGGAAAAAGTCACATTGGTACTTGCCGTTGGTACGTTTCGAGCCCGCACCCTCATGCATGAGAGGCTGGCGTCACCTCCGGGCCACCACGACATTTTGTCCTGTCACTACAAGTATATCAGTGAACAAAGGATGTACCGAACAATTAATTTTATTTATCTTTACAACGTCCTTGTTTCTACTTCAATTAAATCCGGAAATGACGTAACTAATTACAGGATATGAATTTTAAATTACATTGATAACTGTATAAGAATACTAAAGATAAATATCTAGACACAGATCTGTCTGGGTTGTTATCATTATATTACGTCATTTAGCATAGAATAAATTTAAAATAAAAAATATATGTAATTAGTCCGTCAGTTAGGTAATTAAAAAATATTAGACACGTATTTTTTTATTTTGTTGTATAATAAAACAATGCTCAGATAAAACCAATCAAAGTTTAGGAGTGGGGGCTAAAACGTCGTTTCTACTTGTAAAATGTTGGTACATAGAAGTGACGTCATGCGACATTTCAAATCAATATATCGTCGAAAGTATCCCTTTCTGTAAGAAAATAAAAAATACGTGTGTAATATGATTTAAAATAATCTACCAGACGGACATTGAAATAAAAATTAGGAATCTACCCTATTACCTACATGTTATATCTTCGATCAACAATAGCAACCAAAGCCTTATATGAAGACCAGCGTCACGTCATGACAGCTGAAGGGATCGGGATGCAATGTAAAAAAAGGGGTAGGTTGTGGTCTGGATTAACATATAGGCTTACTTTTATCCCACAAGAAACGGGCGAAGGTGGCTAGCAGAAGGTAGTAACAAACATATCTACACACAAACTTTCTCATTTAGGGCTCGTACACAAACTGCGATGCGACGTCGCATTGCAAAAATGTGCGAGCACCCTCTATGCATCGCAGGAATTTGCGAATTGATTCGCATCGCGCATCAAAATCTTTACTTCCCAAAATTTTCCTGTATCTCCTAAGCAATAACAGAAGTGCACACTTCTTTTTACGATCCATGCCACGACCTAGATTTCAATTTAAAATACGTTTAGTACGGTTGACGGCCGTTGAAGGAATGGTCACCTGGGAGACGCCTTGTCGGACGAAATCGCATCGCAGCAATAGGGTAGTTTCCTAAATTTTATTTTAATGTCCGTCTGGTATATTGATTTAAAACTTTAGACAAGTATTTTTTCTTTTCTCACAAAATTAAACGATATATTCATATGAAATATCGTATGACGTCACAGCGTGCCACATTTTGTAGCACGTTATGACGTAACGACCTCCCACTCCTAAACTTAGCACCATTTTATCTAAGTATTGCAACTTAATACGAGAAAATAAAAAAATACGTGTCTAATATTTTTTCATTATCTAACTGACGGACTAATTAGATTTTTAATTTTGATACCCTATACCGTTGCGAATTCGCATCGCATCGCATCGTAGTTTTGTGGACGAGTCCTTAAGCATATCTAATACTAATAAGATTTATAATTTATTATTTCAGGTCCCTAATAATTTAAAATATATATGTTCTGAATGCGTGGAGAATTTGGAAAAATCTACGTCATTTAAAATCCAGACTACTAAAAGCCTGAATATGCTTCAAAATGTTAAAGGTAAGGTTTGCAGCGTTCGAAATTGACTTATTTATTTTTTCAAAAACTAGATAATTCTTTGTTTTTTTTTTACTTTCATTATTGTTCGGTATTATCTATATAAGCACCTGCATTTATTTCTTCTTTCCTTTTTAAATTTTGTATCTGTTTGCGTGCCTACTGTCGAATATTAATGCTGTTTCTTTTTTTCTTTCTATATTAAATGTCTCAATATTGGTACCTATTGCATAAATGTTCCTTGTGACCTGACTGAGGTTACAGACAGTCGCTGTATGCAGGTCGTTTCTAACCTCGCAATGTGTAGTCATTGGGGGAGGACCGTGCGAGGCAGTGGACTGTACGTGGCTGTACACGCATGATGATGATGTGACTGTTTCAAAATACTTACTTTTTTAATGGAACAAGCCTGGCCTGTAAGCCAGGATCTACAGTAGATACAACCATGCAAACACCGGAACACTGAAGTCTAACGTCCCAGGGATATGAATAACTGTCTTGATTCCCGCAACAAATTAAGTCTGGTCTTGAAGACACCCAGGCTATACCCTTCTGGAAGCCTGAACCTGGATAACCTGGGTGTCTTCAAGGCCCGAGTGAATAGGTTGCTTATGGGACGACGTGCTCCATCATAGACTGCATCATCGCTTACCACCAGGCGAGGTAGTGGTCAAACGTCGCCGTCGGCTTAACAAGCATAAAAAAATGTCTAAAATCTAACGTGAGCTAGGTGCTCGTTCCAAAATGTATTATGTTACATTAGGTACCTATGTGTTAATTGTTAAGATATAAAACAGCTTTTAATTTTACTAGATGAAGAATATTTAGACGAGTCTATTCTAGAAGAGGCTGAAAGCAGTAATAATGAAAAGAAATTGGAGATTTTAAAGTCTACTTCAGATGGAGAGGACGAAGAAATGGATGGTGAGGAACCCTCATTCATTTTACCTTTCTCAGAGCCATCTAATGGTTACTTTTTCTTATGGCATATGCCGTAAACGAGCAGACGGATCACCTGATGGTAAGCAATCGGCGTCGCCCATCACACCTGGAACACCAGAAGCGTTACAAGTGCGTTACCGGCCTTTAGGGGATTAGGAGTTTGAGAATTGTTGGAAATTCGGTGATTGGGGAGATTGGAGGAAGGGGGGAGAGAGCTGGGCCTCCGGTAACCTCACTCACGCGACGAAACACAACGCAAGCGTTGCTTCACGTCGGTTTTCTGTGAGGCCGTGGTATCACTCCGGTCGAGCCGGCCCATTCCCACACTTAAACTGTTCTTAAGGTACTAGTCCCACTGCCGACGAGAACACGACTAACTATCGGCTATTTTTTGGCTCAAGTAACTTATAAGAGCTCTCTCACATTTAGGCGACTTTAGCCGAGCGACAGTCATAGAATCAGGAGCGTTTCGGTCGCTTTATTATTAATTAAACACAATCGTTTTATTGTTTAATCATAACATAACATCACGCCTTTTATCCTCGAATGGGTAGGCAGAGGTGCATTATGCCATTGTACAATGTAACACCCACTTTTCATTATTTATGTTATGAGTCCCATTCCCATGTAATAGGGGGTGAGCCTATTGCCATATACCAGGCACAATTCCAGACTCCGTGCTGAGACTGACTGAGATTTTTTTTAAAACCAATAATACTTTGCCCGATCCGGGAATCGAACCCGAGACCCCTTGCCTGGCAGTCGACCTTGCGACCACTCGGCCAACGAAGTAGTGTTTAATCAATTTATTTGCGAGTATCTATGCGCGAAAGTGACTTGATGCTAACTTCACACCCGTCATAAATCGTGGACCGTACTGTACTGAGGAATAGTTTGAGTAATCATTCAAAGCCTCTAAGTACCTGAATAGTAAATTAACCCCCTTTTCCCAAGATCTAGACGATGAGCATGCAATTCAAGCTCTTGACGAGACAACCTGCATATACTGTGATCTTCAACTAGCGACAGTTGAAGATGTCCATGATCATATACGGACAGTTCATGAGCTGGAACCCAGGACAGGACTCCCGCTAAGAGAATGTTCTCTGTGTGGAGTCGCTTTGAGGGACCCTGCTGATCATCATAACAGGTTAGTGGGTTGATGAGGATTCAGTACACTATAAGTGGCCTCTGCTGAGCATAGGCCTCTTCTCACACGGATAAGATAGGAGCATTATTCACCAAGCTAGCTCAATGCGGGTTGGCGATTTCAAACTCATAATTAAAAGTTATAAGTCCAGGTTTCCTCACAATGATTATTTTTATCGTAACCCTTTTTTAATCCTTATTTTCTAAGATTATCTAGACACCACTGGCAAACGGTGAAGGAAAACATTGTGAGGAAACCTGGGCTTATAATTTTTATTTCTATGTTTGAAATCGCCATCTCGCATAGAGCAAGCGTGGTGATTAATGCTCAAACCTTTGCTGTTTGAGTAGAGGTCTTTGCTCGAGACAGTTATAGGCTAACGATGATGATAATGCACGGAATATATAATTTTCCCTGGCTTTCTAGGTGTCATGGCGTCAAATCTGATCCGGAGGGTCGTAAATACCCGTGTCACTTTTGTGACAACATTTACGTCAGCAAGAAGGCTTGCTTCACGCATTTACGGATGAAGCATGGATGTAAGTAGGACAAAAAGCAGAGCCGTATTATCCCTAAGGCAAACTAGACAGTGCCGGGCGCCAGGTTACAGAGGGGCGCCGCGAGACGCGCGTGCCCAACTACCCGTAGTGCCGGTGACGCCAAAAAGAATTAGGGGCGCCAATGAGGTGCTTGCCTAGGGCGCTCTTTCGATTTAATTCCCCTCTGACAGAAAGTATTAATTTGTATGGTATAGAGCTTTAAACAAGCAGATGGATCACCTGATAGTAAGCAATCAGCGCGGCCCTTAGCATTTTGAGTACAAAATTATGTATATTATACGGTTTACTAACGTGAGCTGTTTGACGAGGTAACTCGCCTAATTTTAAGCTACATAGGGTCTCATTGTTATATATGTAGTATGCAAAAAGGACACATGATGACCAACGCTCGTCTTCGTGTCTAAACATTAGCAACGCACTTTTTTATGGTATAAGCCGGCAAACGAGCAGACGGATCACCTGATGGTAACCAATCGGCGCCGGCCATGGAGACCTGGAACGCCAGAGGCGTTACAAATGCGTTACTTTTTTACGTTACGTTAATTAGGAGTTTGAGGATTGTTGGGGATTCAGGGATTAGAATGATTGGGGAGGGAGCCGGGGGCTAATTGGGCATCTGGTAACCTCAGTTTTCTGCTCGGTCGTGGTATCACTCCAGTCGAACTGGCCCATTCATGCCGAAGCATGGCTCTCCCACACTTAAAACTTCTCTAGTGTTTCGGGAGTCCATGGGCGCTAATTGCTTACCATTAGGTGACCCGTCTACTCTTTTGCCGCCCAACTTCACAAAAGATCCTAAATCCTAATTTCAAAGCGATTTGATCTCAATTTTACGGTTTTTAGTGAAACTTTGCAACGAGCAGACTCCAAAGTATGTGCCGAGAGAACGCAAGAAGTGTCACATGTGCAACAGAGATTTTAGTCAGAAACAAATACTTAACAAGCATCTGTGGAAGGCCCATGGATTTGAGGTAAGTACATAGAATCGTTTGTCATTCACATACTCTCACATACTGTCACGCGTCCCGCCTCCTCCTTAGCTAGCATGACTGCTTCGCAAAAGAAGGAGACGGCATCCTAGTTCTCCTCGCTCCGCATCATGCCTCGCACTAGGGCCGGACGCGAGAGGTTGCCGTCGCCGATCACATCCCTGAGGGCACAACAGTCGTTGCTGCAATTCTGCCATGAGATTATCCCGATCGCGCCAGAGATTATCCCACCACGCACTAATCTGGCGTGGTACCAGAGTTTTACCCCAGAGACGTCCTCCACGCGCAGCGATCTCTAACCTACCAGTAGAGAATATGGCAAACATTCTTATTCCTATAGTCCCTCAGTCGCTTCTTAGGATACCCGCGGGAAGAGTAGAGCTATTTTTATCATACATTTTTTTATTATATACTATGAAACGGTTTCAGTCAGCTTGCCCAGTTTGTCTGGTAAGGTCTAGTAATAGAAATTTCTCCCCCTTCCCGACGACAGATTAATTTGATATTTGGTACACACTCTTAATCTTGATACCTATACAATATAATCTAATTGTTCCCACAACTACCGTCACTATGGATATCAAACATAAAGGCTTGATGGTAGAATAGAGCTCATTAAAACCCTTTAACATTATTTTTTTATATTACTGGTATCCTTAGGTGGAAAAGCGCAAAGCATTCATCTGTCCCCTATGTGATGAAAGGGTCAGTTACGGATCGAACTTCAGCGCTCATCTCTTGCATGCGCACAGAGTCCACGAGCAGGTGGAACAATTGGAGTTTCATAATATGGACGGTAAGTCATCTGCTTCTAGAACATACGTATATATATAGAACACTAGCTTTTACCCGCGGCTTCGCTCGCGTCACAAAAGGATAAAAAGCCAATGTGACATATGTCAAACCACACAGCGCCACCTATACCAATACTTTTGTTTTCCCTCGGGCATATCAAATTTTTCCGGGATAAAAAGTACCCTATTATTTAATCCGGACTTCTAACTATACATCTGCAAAAATTCAAAGCAATCGGTTTAGTAGTTATGGCGTGAAAACGGAACAAACAAACAAACTCACTTTCCGATTTATAATTTATATATATATAAGTAAGAAAGTAAGAATACAACAAGTGTGGACGAGCCATGCTTCGGCACGAATGGGCCGGTCCGACCGGAGTGATACCACGGCCTCACAGATAACCGACGTGGAGCAACGCTTGCGTTGTGTTTCGTCGTGTGAATGAGGTTACCGGAGGCCCAATTATCCTCCCCTTCCCCAATCTCCCCAATCCTTGAATCACCCACGATCCTCAAACTCCTAATCCCCAAAAGGCCGGTAACGCACTAGTAACGCCTCTGGTGTTCCAGGTGTCCATGTTCGACGCCGATAGCTTTCCATCAGGTGATCCGTCTGCTCGTTTATCGGCTTAAGCCATAAAAAAAAAAAGTTACATTCTTAGACTAACGACTCACGAAGCGATTTTATTCCGCGCCTGCCGCGGTTGTGAGCTCGCAGCCTTTGTAGAATACAGAGTCCTTAGTACGAGTTTGTTTTACGTTTAGAGTAATTGAAGCGAAGGCTCGTCCGGCGCTCTGATTGGTTGGTTCATTGGAGCCGGCCAATTATAGCGCCGAACGCGTACGCGTACGCATACTCATGAGCAGCATTCCGCGTCGCGGGTCGTGGAATGCTGCTCATGAATACGAGCCTCTAGCATGGCTTGAAACTAGTCGAGTTTCTCGTCAAATTATTACGTGAGTAAGCCGAAAAATACCTACAATATTTTTTTTCTATAAAATATTGCCCCACACTACGATTTTCTCCTGTGTCGTGGGTGCGTTTACAAACATACTATATCACATACACATGACACCCAGACCCGGAACAACAATCACACAAAGAGTTGTTACGTGCGGGAATCGAACCTGCGACACGTTGCGCGGCAGTCAGTTGCCCAACTACCGCGCCAACTGTTCAGTAATTTTTTTATGAGCAATTAGTATGACGTTATTTCAATTTTTTCGCAGATTTCATGATATTCAAAAGCGCTATTCAAGAAGAAACGAAGTACAGGTTTCGGAAGACCACTGCAAGCAAGCAGACGATTGAAGGAGTCAGATCTCATTACATGTGCAGCCAATCTGGGGTCTACGTGTACCAGGTGAGATAGTCTCTCTTATACAATATATATACATAACATCACCCCCCTTATTCCAGAAAAGGTAGGTAGAGGTGCCCATTACGACACTTAATGCCATTATACAACGTTTCACTATTAATGCTATGAGTCCCATGTAGTTAATTAATAGGGAGTGAGCCTATTGCCATATACCGGGCACAATTCCAAACTCCGTGCTACTTCTGAGATTTTTTTTTAAAAACCCAGTATTACTTTGCATTGCCCCCGAATCGAGCCCAAGACCCCTTGCCCGGCAGTCGCACTTGTGACCACTCGGCCAACGAGGCAGTCGTATTACATGGGACTCATAACAAAACTATGGAAAAGTGATATTAAACTGTCAAACACCAAGCGGTCACCGGTGACCGCAACCTATTGTTCTATAATTGTGTCTGCAAAACCGGTACTCGACGAGTTAAATAACTTCGGATATTAAAAGGTGTGATACTTACCAAGAACATCGAAGCAGACAGCATCGCCAATACAATTGGCTACATTGAACGCAACGGTACAGTGTACAGTGGTATAGAGACGGTGGCGCCAAAAAACTTACGGGCGCCCATGACGTGCTTGCCTAGGGCGCTCACTAGTTTTAATCCGTCCCTGACCAAACCTTACCTCTTTTAGGGTAAAGGCAAGCGCCCAGCTCCAGAAAGACAAATATACAAGACGGGAAAGGCTTGCCCTGCTCATATGATAGTTACGGAAACTATGGATCGTGTGCTTGTCACCTTTTACAAAACACATGTTGGACATGGACGTAAGTACCTATATACAACATGTAACGTAATTAACGCACACCCTCAAACACCCCAATTAGAATATTATGTTATAATCATAATACATACACTAAATTTTTAATTTAACATGTATATGCATCCCTACTGGTCTTGTCATAAGGTTTATTTTTCTTTATTTTGTATTGAATGATAGAGTTTGTATGAATACAAATAAAACTGCGATTTTAAAAGTCTTATTGCTTTGACTTACGTAAAGTCTTATTGTTTTTTTTTTCTATTTTAGTATGTTCTGTTATTTGTATGTTGCGTCAGGTATGTCTTTACATTATTCTCACATGTGTGTAAAATATTGGAATTTGGAATATGTATCAGAGCAATGTAAAACAGACTTTTTTAAAAGAGTAACGAATGGAGTTTCTTGCTCGTTCTTCTCCACTCGAATCGACATTTTGGAACGAGCGCCTAGCTTCACTGACGGACAGACTGACAGACTATTATATATTTCATATTTGTTGACGATTCAAAAGTACCAAATTATGGTTTAATTGAAATAAATGCTTTTGAGTTTGAGTTTGAGTTTACGGTCCATTTCGATTTGTTTTAACAATACAAAGTTAATATGACAATAATAAATTTCCGTAGTTTTAATTATTTTTGGGATAAAAAATTACCTATACTAAAAATTATATAAATCGATTCAGTTAACGATTCTGGACAAACTATTTTCAGGATATGCGTTATTTAAATTAAAGGCTGGGCAAAAAAAGTTTGAAATAATAGAGGTCGCTAGTATCGTACCTGTGGCAATCTGGTACACAACGGCTCAATCGGTTTCAATATTTGTTATTTTTATCGAATTTAAAATGGGGAGGTGCTTTTTTCATGGGATATAGTCCGAAGTAGGTTCAGTACAAGTCAATATTAGTTCCAGCTGTCATAGTGTCAAATTCTTTTTTGCCAAACTGTACATTATGCCTACATGTTTTATAGTTAATGAATGGTTCGAAAACGTTTGTCCCCCGTATCTCGCACGGTGGTAAGCGATGATTCGACTTACCAGAGACTGCAGCACGCCTACATAAGCCTACATCCAGGTTATACTCTTCAGGAATCACAGACTCTGGAACTTCTTTTATGATAATATAATAGGGCGATAGACGAGCAGAGAGATCACCTGATGGTAAGCAATCGGCACTGTTTCCTGACGCCTGCAACACGAGGAGTTAAAAGAGCATTACTTACCGATCTTCAATGGAATAGGGATTTGAGAATTAAGGAATATTTAATTTCTATAATTATTTAGGCACCACTGACGTACGGTAAAGAAAAACGTGTTGAGGTGAGGCTAAGTTATTTCACTTTTTCCCATACTCTCAGAAGTAACAGAAATAAACTCTGCGGTCATCATCACCTCCAACAGCCTATGAGTGTCCACTGATAACCAAAGGCCTCTTCTCACACGGAGGAGGTTTGAGCATTAATCACCACGCTTGCTCAATGCGGGTTGGCGATTTCTAACTTATAATTAGAAATTATGAGCCCAGGTTTCCTCACGATTTTTTTCTCCACCATTTGTCAGTGGTGTCTAAAGAATCTTAAAAAATTAAACTTTATAGACTCAGAGACTTACTAGAGGTACAATCTTAGACTAAGAAATCATAGTTGCTTTTAAAAATATTCTTATTATGTTTGAAAATATAGCGTGCCCCTATTTTGAACCGAGGGAATCGAAAAAAATGAAATCGGAACCTCATGCGAGCTCATCTATTGTAATGGATGACGCTTTAAAAGCTGAACTGGAGCCGAAGGACGAAGGTATGTACCTATAACTATAATATAGAATAGAATATCTATCATTATTGTATCACCCATGTTATATGGAAGAAAGAAGAAAACGTTTATTACGTCACAGTTACCTACATATAAAAATAATTTCACGGTGCGTCGTAGCGCAAAAGGCCGGAGCTCAGTTTAATGCTGTCCGAGCACGAAGGCTCGAGTTCATAGCGCTGATTTTCAGTACCACTCGTTTAATTACCGATACGGAGTCGCGGAGAACCTAACGGGTAACCGGGACTCCGGCTCGACGTGCAGGAGAAGGAACGGGGTGGTTTTTAGTCAGTAAGAGTCTGACACTCCCTCCCGCCTCACCTAGGCGGGAGAAGTCATTAGATGATTTCCCCCATTAAAAAAAGCCCGTTTAATACAGTTACATAATCTACTATCATGTTCCAAGTATAGATACAAATATAATAAACATAACATCACGCCTTTTAATCCCGAAGCGGTAGGCAGAGGGGCACATTTGATTACGGCACTTAATGCACTATTTAGTTATAAGTTCCATGTAATAGGGGGTGAGCCTATTGCCATATACCGGGCACATTTCCAGACTTCGTGCTACTAATAAGATTTTAAAAACCCAATAATACTTTGCCCGACCCGGGAATCGAACCCTAGACCTCTTGCCCGGCAGTCGCACTTGCGACCACTCGGCCAATGAAGCAATATAAATCTATAAATACCAATTATTAATCATCCCTTCTCCAACGTAGCGGATACGGCAGAAGAGTCCTGTTTGATGTGCGATGCGTGTGGTATGTCCTTTGGAGATTCTGACAAGTTCAGAGATCACGTCGCTACCCATGGCCTGGAGTTATTTCCATGCCAATACTGCGATGATGTGAGTTTATTAAATATATTTTATACAAGTAGCAGTAGGAACTTGTCTTTTGACCTGGGTGCTTACTCTTGAAACCAATCTCAATGTCAATACAATTTCAATTCAATAAAATCTCAATAATTATTGTCAACAATGTCAAAACTAACCCCTATCGTAGCTGTTATAATAGCTTTCAGAGTACGGAATATAAAGACAAACTCAATACCATTTAGTTCATTCAATATCCACGCAATACGGATGCGGTAGGCGCTAGTGTTACAACTCAAGAGTACGAAATTTCACAATACCAATGTCGACCGATCGGAATTGGATTCAAGAGTAAGATCCCAGGGCCGTATTATCTTTGAGGCAAACTAGTGCCTAGGGCGCCAGGTTACAGAGGGGCGCTGCGGGACCCGCGTGCTTAAACTGTACATGGAATAACGGCAGCGACAAAAATAATAGGGATGATGACTGGGTATGAAAATTAAAAATCGAATTAGTCCCTCAGTTAGACAATGAAAAAATATTATACTTTGATAGAACGAATCAAAGTTTAGGAGTGGGAGCTAAAATGTCAATTAGTATAAAACGACACTAGAAGTGACGTCACGGGACATTTCAAATCAATATATCGTCGAAAGTATTCGTAAAATAATCTACCAGACGGACATTGAAATGAAAATTAGTGATCTACCCTATTAGGGGCGCCTATGAGGTACTTGCCTAGGGCGCTCCCTAGGTTTAAACTGCCTCTACTATCAGTGGCATGTGATGGTGTAGAATACCGGTGTCACTGCCACTACTCTTCCCGCGGGTGTCGTAAACCAGACTAAGGGACTACACATATGACAGAGACCGGGCAGCAGCGCTCTCTGATAAACCTGAACCTTTTACACTGCGATCTACTGTCAGTGGGTATCATGGTAAACCCTCGTATGTAGAAGAGGCTCTTAGGCTACTATGGGCTATTGATGACGATACTTTGTTCACTTTTTTATGGTATTGGTCGACAAACGAGCAGATGGATATCCTGATTCCACCAGGTGATCTGTCTGCTCGTTTCTCACTATGCAGCAATCATCGCCGCCCATGGACACCCGGAACACTTTTAATTGAGCTGACTGTAAACCGACATATACGTACTGCCTTCAGAACGGGTCCGCTCAAACTGTTGTGGTTCTTTCCTCAAAAGGCCACTACAGAAAGAACTTGCACGGTTCTCACACATAATCTGTTATACATATTGTCTGGACTTTAAAAGAGACAGACCTCTGAGTTTGTTTCGGTATTTCTTCTTAGAGTAACTAGTCAGTTAGGAAATGTCGGCCTCATCGTTCGCTTGATAAAATTGACGTGTAAAAGTGCTGCCTTGTAGCCTATTTGCAGAAATAAATTCACTTGTTTCACTAGACGAGTTACAAATACGTTGTGTCGGCCTATTTTTCTCCACGTCTTTCTTAAGTACTAGGTAGGTAAACATAACATACTTAAACAATAATCATGTATTGTCTTTACCCCCGAAGTGGTAGGCTGAGGTGCACATTATGCCACTGTACAATGTAACACTCACTATTCACTATTTATGTTATGAGTCCCATGTAATAGGGGGTGAGCCTATTGCCATATACCGGGCACAATTCCAGACTCTGTGCTATTACTGAGATCCTGAAACTCGTCTGTCGCACTTGCAAACACTCGACCAACGAGACAGGCTCTATCTGACTTCTTTTATAGATAAAAAAATATTATTTTTACAGGATTTTCAAAATCTGGACGCTTGGACGCGCCACGTACGGTTAGAACATAACATGGGCAGTTTATTTTGAACACAGCAAATATATAATCAATACATAGTATAAAACAAAGTCGCTTTCGCTGTATGTCCGTATGTATGCTTAGATCTTTAAAACTACGCAACGGATTTTGATGCGGTTTTTTTTAATAGATAGAGTGATTCTTAAGGAAGGTTTGTATGTATAATACATGCATATTGCACCCGTGCGAAGCCGGGGCGGGTCGCTAGTAAATAATATATTAGTTTTTCATTAACTAGTTTGGGTCCAAAATACCCTAATTTTTTTGATATTGAGCATCTATTTCATAAGATAATGCATAGAATTCAGTTTTGTCAAAGAAGATGAAGTTTTTTTTATTTATAAAATAGTAATGAAGGCTTGATTTTTTATTTTAAACTTAAAATAAATGTTATTTTACACATACTTGCCTTCTTATTTTTACCTTGTATTATATACATGAGCATGGTTTCACTCGCTGCTCAGCTTCTATTGGTCGGAACGTAATGTTCCTCGATAAATGGACGATATAACAAAATGATTTTGTTACGACACAAGACCGCCACAACTTCCCAAAACCGCTGTAGCTCGTACACCAGGTTCTACAGTAGATACAACCATGCAAACACCGGAACACTGAAGTCCAGCGTCCCAGGGACAAGAACAACTGTCTTGGTTCTCGCAACGAAATAAATCAGAAGATATTATAGTGGTGCATTCATATCTGGCGAATGTGCCGTTCAGAAGCCTTTTGCGAGCTGCCCGCGTGCATTGGCCGCAATTGTTTAGTACTGAACTCGAACAAGGCTCGTATAAATAAAAAATTTAAATGCACACGGGCGGGTCGCGAGCTGCACATTCGCGAAACATTCGCCAGATGTGGACGCATCCTAAGAGGATAAGAAATAGACGATGGTTTCCACTTCCCTCGTTAAATTTGACAATTGTGACCGCAACCTATTGTTCTTTAATTGTGTCTATAATGACGGTACTCAACGAGTTAATACAGGAGACACAATGGCTTAAGTCTACAAATGAAAAGAATTATTCAATTCGAACTAGTACTTTAAGTGTACTAGTAGTTTTAGTAGTTTAAGAGTGGGAGAGCCATGCTTAGGCATGGATGGGCCGGCTCGACGGGAGTGATACCACGGCCTCACACAAAACCGACGTGGAGCAACGCTTGCGTTGTGTTTCGTGGTGTGAGTGAGGTTACCGGAGGCCCAGCTCCCTCCCCTTCCCCAATCTCCCTAATTCCTGAATCCCCAATGATCCTCAAACTCCTAATAACTAAAAGGCCGGTAACGCACTTGTAACGCCACTTGTGTTTCGAGTGTCCATGGGCGACGACAACTGCTTACCATCAGGTGATCCATCTGCTCGTTTACCGGTTTGTGTCATAAAAAAAGTAGTGCAGTAAGGAAATTCACACTAATATTATAATGTGAAAGTTTCTTTGATGGGATATTTGTTCGTCAGTCACGCTGAAACTACTGAACGGTTTTTGATGAAATCTGGTATACAAGTAGGGTATGGGCTGACTCAGGTTATTACCTAAAAAGTATCCTACAGTACTGGATACTTTTTGTCCCGAGTAAAAGCTCCCATGGGACAAAACAAGGAGCATTATTATACGCGGACGAAATCGCGGGCAACAGATAATATTAAGTATAGATTATTAGCAGGGGATAAGGTATCTGGTTTAAAACTCTCCAATGTCAACCCTCTCATGTTCCATGATTTTATGATGAATGTAAATTAAAAAGGATAGATATTGTAACATTGCTTCGACTGCAAGCCACAAAAAGTTTCGCATTTCTAATGAAAAAAGTAAACTCACCTAACTGTAAATTATGTGGCAAGTTAGGTCATGTTTATTATAATTACCTCTATGCTGGTGGAGTGTTAAATTTAAGGTGGCAAGGGACTCACTGATGCGACATTTTTGATTAACCCTCGGTATCGTAAGGGTTAAGCTGGGGGTTGATTTGAATAAAAGTACTTGGTAGTAGTTACCGAACACTTGTATTCCGAATTATTGTACAATTAAAATTACGATACAATAGCACGTGGCAAATTGATACCAACATAAAATAAATTCTATAGACACTTATACTATTGGCGGAGAATCTTAACACCGCGATTCAGAAAACGATCTCAAATAAAAAGCACCATCTATGAACGAATGTTGGAACACTTGTTCTCTGAATCGCGGGTTTCTTAAATGTCAATCGCTTGGCGGTTAAACAATTTTAATACAATAAAATATGATTTGGGATCTTTTTCTACTATTTTGTCAGAACCTTTAAGGAATGCAGCACGATCTATTGTAAGGATGTTGCAACAGTGATGATGCTGGTATTTGATACTTCTAATTAATTTTTAGTTAATATAAAGTGTTTTAGATAGATAAGTTTGGGCTACGATGGGGCTGACATAGCCTATTGGTTAACAGCCCTTAAAATAAAATAGATAAGAAATTAAAAAAAGTAAAGATTCCCCTGTCCTGGAGAATTGTTGTTTGACAACAAAGGACACGACACGATCTCCAACCTGCCTACCAAACGTAGAGATTGTGGAAACCCCTCTTATGTAGAGGAGGTTCATAGTATAGGCTTAGAGAGAACGGTCTTGGGCTGTGGACACCGACTTCATAAAAGATTGAAAGATTGTGTGAGCAATGATATAAAATCATGTCTGTAATGACGAGAATAGAATAAGACATACATAACATAACATTACGCCTTTTATTCCCGAAGGGGTAGGCAGAGGTGTATATTATACCACTGTACAATGTAACACCCACTTTTTACTATCTATGTTATGAGTCCCATTTAATAGGGGGTGAGCCTATTGCCATATACCGGGCACAATTCCAGACTCCGTGCTACTACTAAGATTTTTTTTAAAACCCAGTAATACTTTGCCGGTGAATCAAACCCGAGACCCCTTGACCGGCAGTCGCACTTGCGACCACTCGGCCAACGAGGCAGTCTATAGAATAAGACATTGTATGGCTAACACAGAGACGTATTATTGCAAAGGCAAACTAGGCAATTCCCGGGCGCCAGGTTACAGAGGGGCGCCGCGAGACGCGCGTGTACAACTGCACATAGAGTGACGGCGGGGACAAAATAATTAAGGGCGCCAATGAGGTGCTTGCTTAAGGCGCTATGTAGCTTTAATCCAACTCTGTTTATTTTATATTATGCTGTTAAATAATTGTAGTTACCTACTATGAAATTAATACAAAATATACAGTATTACTAAAACATAAGCGAGAGTCGGGGAAGTCAAGGACGTGGGAGTAAGATTTAACACCGCTCTAACTTTCCGTGAACACGTCATGGGTTGTTGTAAAATGGCATTTAGAATCTTAGGCTTCATGCTCCGAACGGTCCGTGGATTTACTTACGTAAAAGCCATCATCACACTATACAACGCACTAGTTAGAAGCCAGTTAGAATGTAACGCAGTCATATAGTCTCTGCATGAAGCTACATAAAATAATATAGTCTCATGCTGGAGACAATTCAAAATAAATTTATTAAATATTTATACTTGAGGTACTATTGTCTATCTGTTTTACCCGTTGATGTTTCCCACATTATTTATTTTAGGGATGGTAGGGTTGCCGTCTCCTCCTTTTGCGAAGCAGTCATGCTAGTTAAGGAGGAGGCGGGACGCGTGAGGCAGCGAAGCGCTGCCTCCTCGCAACCCAGCCATCGCGAAGGACACACCGGGCGTCGGGGATCGCGGGACGATCTCCGGCCACCATAAGCACGGGACTGCGGACGGCGAGCATGGGTGGCTCCCCGTCCGACCAGAAACAGACCCGAGCGTACGGTGCGTCGCGTTCCGCGCGCGCCTTAAAGAGCCATCAGACCACCACAGATGGGGCCCAATAGGGCCGATGCCGATTCGGAGTACGGAGAACCTAACGGGTAACCGGGGCTCCGGTTCGACGTGCAGGAGAAGGAACGGGGTGGTTTTTAGTCAGTAAGAGTCTGATACTCCCTCCCGCCTCACCCAGGCGGGAGCAGTAATTCGATGATTTTCCCCCTTAAAAAAAAAGGGTACAATGAATTAAGAGTAAGACGGGATTTTGCATTCACCTCACATTTATTTAAGTTATTAAAAGGAAAACTGCACAATGCAGACATTTTAGGGCAGCTGAGTCTGTGTTCCGGATAGGTACGTGTGGCGATGCCGGCGACCGCCACTGCTGGCGCAGCCCCGCGGTCGGACCAACCTATAAGGGAAGCGCCGCTGACGCGTGCACTTCGCACGCTCAACCTGATTTCTAATGAAATTGACCTATTTTGTTGTACTTTGGGTGAATTCACAAGGAGTGCATTATATGTAAGATGCTATAGATATTAAGATGGGCACATTTATCGCATTGGGCATTAACCTGTAAGTGGAATAAATAAATAAAAAAATATATAAAAAATTTAGTTTTTATTTCAATATCTTGTAACTGTAACTGTAGATTTACTTACAACTTGGCAACTAAGAGTTTGGAATAATTGAGGTCGCTAGTATCGTCCCTGTGGCAACCCGGTGCACTACGACTCAATCGGTTTTAATATTTGTTATTTATAACGAGTGTAAATAGTGCAGATAGTATGTTCGGATGATTTTTAATTCATGTGATATAGTCCGAAGTGGGTTCAGTCCAAGTCAATATTAGTTCCAGCTGGCAACGCATCAAACTCTTTTTACTACTAACGCGCCTACTAAAACAGCGCTTTTACATAAA